AGAATACAGGGAGTTTGGGGTTCCATCAAAAACTCTCCTATCCACAGAGCTAACTAGCTGAATAAAAATCTTTTTTTATACTGGCAGTCATAAAAAGAAGAGGTAGGTAGAGGAAGGTAGGTTTACAAATTTATCTTTAAAAATTGTAAAATGAAAAATGTCAAATTTGCTGATACTTTCTTTTTGATACTATATTCAACTGTGCCTCACCCGAGGTCTGAAATTCTTCAAATGTATCTGCTTACCTTTGTGACAGCTTTTGAAGAAAAGGTAATTTCATCATTAAAAGTGACAATATCATCTGGATCAAGTCTATCGAAGTACTTTGAACACATATCATAGGCATGTAGCCACTCATCCATGGTTTCTGGTATTTTTTTAATGAGATGGTAATCGCCATTCCAAAAAAGTTTTTGTAACCAAACAGCATAAACAGAACTTGGTGACAGCATGCTGCCATCTTTTTTAGGAATTTTGGGAGCCAGTTTGGAAATAGATAAGATATTTTGACTTGTAAGGACAGGCTCCAGTGCTTCCAGAGGGTTTTCGTTTTCATCTGTTAGCTTTTTGTAATTAAGACCTATTGAGAGGAGGAGAAAGAGGCAAACAAAATAAAAGTTATTCATAGTCAAATCTACTCAAACTCTACACTATGTGTAAAACAATCAGTACTAAACCAGTATCTGCAGAACTAGAAAGACTCTACTCCATGTCGTTTTACATACATACTGACAGATTAGGGAGGAAAACAGGTTTGTATACAGGTAACACTGGCATTTTATGATGTCCTGATGCATGTGAAATCTCTCAATCCCTGGAACATATTTTAACGTTACATATCCATACAAACTGAAAAAGCAGATTCTCCAAGAAGCAAGAATATAGTATATAGAACTGTGCTACAATTTTTTTAATATAAAGCCTAGAAAACTTCATGCACCTCAAGACATAAGTCTTCATTGATTAAAAAAAGATGTAATCATGTAACCATTGTTACTTACTACCTACGTCAGCAAAAATGCAAGGTGCTAACCACAAGTAAACTAAGTAAGGTCAACTAGAGACAGGACATGTAGATCCATTTATATGAATACCTATATAATACAAGACTCCTGTTACTACTTTGGTTCCTACAGGAAGAAAACTCTTGCAAATTATTCTAGCAACAACAAAATATATCTAGTAACAATACTATTTTATTCTCTATGCATATAATTCCTAAGACAAATGACTTCTATTGCCATGTTTTTCTTCTTATACTGAGGGCCTGTAACCTCTACAAACACTTTAATGTTGTTCCTTGACTACTATCTATAAACTATGCTGAACACTGAGAATTTTAATTAAGAGTGCAATACAATAGATACAATTTTTTACCATACCATACAAAGTGAATAATTTGTCTGGTGTATGGTCCCAGGACATTTTCTTTGAGTAACATTTAAAAATAACTTTGAAGGAAAACAGTAACTTCTTGACAGATTTTTCTTTGAGAAGCATCGTAGAACTTAAGTGTTTAGACATAATAAGAACTGGAGGTAATCCCTCCTCCCCGGAAAAGTTGTCTTTTTTCTTCCTGCAATACATGAACTCATATGCACAATCTCTCCAAATTCTGCAGCAAAGTTAGTGTCTGATACATATGAGGTTCTAGTATTGAACAATTAAGTCATCCCCACAGCAGGTAATCCCATACAGTGTGTATTTTTCATTCTCAACTTGTATTTGGAGTTATTCAATTGAAATTCAAGATAATGCTAATACTTGACTAAAAAGCAAACTGAAACTAGTATTAAAATTTCAGAGTGCTTCCCAGCATCTCACTTTTCTAGGCATTGCCTGATAATGTGGGAGGACAAATAATATTGTAGTTCTGCAAAAGCAAAAGGTAACATCAAGGATAAAACGAAAAATAAAATGATCCTTTTTCAAACAAACAAACAAACTGCTTAATGTTCCAAATATATTAAGTAATTCAGACTTTTGAAAGGTAAAATTAAGTTCTTTGACAATATTCATATTAAACTTGCAGTGTTAAAAATTATGCTCTAGGAGGTTAATTGCCAGCCCAGCCTTAAATGGTGACAGAGGTCTGTATTTGTTCTTTAAAAATTCACTACAAACCACTGTCAATAATTTTAACTTGCATCACCAACAGAAATATTTTTTTAAATACTTTTTGCCTGCTGTGATAAGAGTAAACTAAATTTCCAGTAATACAAAGAGAAAGATCTTACTCCTGTAAGATATGACTAATAGACTAAATTACTTGCGTTCATTTGATACGCTCATTGAAAAAAAATTACCTGGAGGTTATAAATTACATAAGCGTAATCACATCAACACTCACATAACAGAGTAACAAATACAGCTACGAAGAAACAGGAACTCTCCTACCTGGTGCAACTGCTTTGAATTTTTTCAGGAGTCGGATGTGAGTTTCAGGTTTAATGGCATACTTCACCACTTCTGAGCAACCACAATTTTCAAGGAGTGTAAAATAATAGAGCAACCGCTGGTGATCTCTGCCTTCAATACTTGGGTAAACATATTTAACCATGTGTTCACATAAGGTTTCCGGACTGGTTTTTAAAGTCTCAAACAGACCAAGACTTTGTGCTCTTTCTTCTATTTCCAGTGTCGATAACCTGCATTTAGAAATAATTTTGGCTTCAAAGGCCTGGACGTGCCATGAAAGACTCTTCAACTGCACACTCATAAATAATAAAAAAGCTGCACTCATCATAAATATTTAGAGAGTTGTTATTCTCCATAAACGAAACCTAAGGAGCTCTTGTATTTCCTGATCTTGTTTTCTGTTCACTTGGACATGCAGATTAAGGGTCATGAATACTGAAGTGTGACTCAAAGCAGCAGTTCACATCTCTAAGTATAGCTATAAGTAAAAGTAGACATATGTCCAGCGTATGTGTACAGGAAGCTTTTTTAAACAAACAAACCAACCAACCAAAACAACTGGTGGCTGAATGATGCTATAAAATTCTATTGCCCAGTTAGAAGTTCTCCTAATCTATTACATTCTATTTTCTGTAGTCAATGAGCACCTGTGCATGCTTTGATAGAGATTATTACTGAAAATTGGCTCTTGCCCACTAGTTAATCTATTTGACACTATTATTCATGCTTAGCATATTTCATTTGACAAATTAATCAAGTTGCTTCTCAAATTGTCATCCATGAAAGCTTATGAAAATATCAGCAAGTCTTGGACTGACCTCAGTCTCACTGCTTCAGGAAATTTTTTTCCTGACCCTTTTGAAAAGAATATATTAGCTCTTTCACAGCATGAATTCAGACACCTCCAGCTGACTACATAAAAGATAGCTGAATGCAATCACTCCTTTTCTCCTCAGCTTGGAGAAAAAAATGGGTGCATACCAAGGAAGTCTCATCTTAAGTTTATACCTTTCTCAACTGAAAGTTTTACCTAAAATCTGAAGAAAGAAGTAACCTACAGATGACTACCACTTTGTCTTTCCCCAGAGTCCAATCACATGCCACATTAGGTAGTACATTTCATTTGGAAATACGATGTCTTCTAATCCCATTTGATTTTCTCCTACCTTTAAAATTGATTATATCAGAATTTCAACATCAGTTTTTCCTGAGTATAAATGTCACATGTAAGTTAGTGTCTCTATTTGATATCCAAGTAAAATATGTCTTGGTTTCATTCCTAAAGATTATTTTCTTACAGTAAATATCACAAAGGTAACCTTCTCACAGTTTAAAAAACTGTGATTCTCTGATTTCTAAGGGAGAATAAATTACTTTTGAGTTATTTTTACATCTAGAATCTACCCCAGTTAGGTTGTTAACCTTGTAAGCATTATTTCAATTGTCCAAATTCTTGTTAAGTGTTCTGCCATGTTAATGGAAATAAGTATAACATTAACGGAAATAAAGCATCATTCACTCTTAATGTCAGACAAAACAGATAATTGGACCTGATGTATTTCAAGAGTGCGACCTGAATACATTTTTCTGTCCACACCTAAAGTTCAAAATAAAGGCTAGACGGACATTAAATGATATTGACAGGATCTACAGAGGTTTGCCAGGTGTTTTTGAGGTAGGGCTGGTGGCGGATAGGAAGAGGATATTATGCTGTTCAGAAAGATTCTGGAATAACAGATTCTGTGACAGGCAAACATAAAATTTCCTGTCACTGAAATCATAAAACGCATTTTATAGATTTTTGGTAATCAAATGCGATCAGATTCTGCCAAAGAAACAACTAAATTTCAGTTGAATTTAAAAAAATGTAACTCTGAACAATTTTCATCAGACTCGAATTCACAGCATAACAGAAAAACATGAGATGTTTATTTGTCGACAAATAATCAAAGAAATAATTAATACAAACTATGTTAGTGCTTCCTTTGAGCTTCTCCCTACATAAAGTGGCTTATAGAAATAATCTCTTTAACCAAATATGCAGTAAGTCTTAGAATAAACTTCTTTTCCATTCAGAATGAATGCATAACGAGTCATGCATTATTAATGCCATAATCCCAAGACTATAATATACTGTAATGGCCATATGCTGTCAATAAACTTTAAAATGAGATTATGACACAACAAAAACATGTTCAGCAGCACGCCATCATAGAATCATTATGGTTGGAAGAGACCTCAAAGATCATCAAGTCCAACCATATACCCAATGCCACCATGCCCACTAAACCATGTCTTGAAGCACCACATCTAAACGTTTTTTATGTTTTTATACTATTATACATCAATTTTCAAGACTTTTTTCAATTTCATTAGGGAAAAGGTTGTTACTTTGTACTTCAGTGATTTCAGAATTCTATGAATACTAACTCACGGAGGACAAGAACAAAGAAAATGATAGAAAACTGTTGCAAAATACCTTAGGTAACATTTTAGTCCCAGAGAAGTCAGCTGGCTCTTTCACATTGACCCCAGTGTTGTCATGTTTATATCCTGACTGTCTACTTTTTTAAAGCACTAAATATTTTAGCAGCATCAAAATTTAGAGGGTATGACTTCTCTGTTTTCTGAGGGAAGCAAAGAACATCTCAGAATGTTATTTCGTCTTCTCAGATCTTGCACCAACATCTACCAGGCTTTGTTTTTTATGTCTCGTGTTTTATAAAATGTTTTAATGTTTTTTAATTAATAGTTAATGTTAAGGGAGGTACAAATATCGCTGCAAGCTAAAGCTGCTTTCACAATTTAAAATTTGAAACAAACTAGACTAATTTGATCATATCTGTCAGAACAGTAGATAAGAGCTGCTGTATTACACAGGGGGCTCTACATCACTGTCATCTGAATGCACTATTCAGGCAAGTAGCTTAGTCTCTCATCAAACGGGTTTATTCATCTTTCAGTGGGCAAAAAGTGCATGTCTGACAGACAAGATATCAAAGTTTAAGGAAGAAAAAAAAGAAAAAAAAAAGGCAGTCCTGGAACAGACACAAAAAGCATCCCTCACCCTTCCCCTCATGCCCCCCACCAATGCCAGGTCTAGTCAGCCATAATCTCATAGGTTAGAACAGTTCCAAAGAAATATTGTAAAAAAAGCCTTTCTATAAAAAACCAAAACTGAGATCAATAGATGAATAATGTGAATAGGAAGTGCCAATATATTTATTTCCTTTGCTATTATGTAGAAGAAAGATCAATAAATAGCAAAACTTTTTTATTTAAAAATAAATAATTATATAAAAACTATCTAAGCCTCAGAACATATTCCAAGGGACTATAAAAATAAGTACAATATAAGTTGTTTTCAGAAGAAAGCACTATGCATTCAAAGCTGTGGAAACCTAAACACTGAAACTAAAGTTCAGGATACTTAGAACAGTAAGACACATACGGACTTTTATCCTTGCTTGTAACGCCTATTTTTGTGGCTGGGGATAAAACTATTTTTGTGGCTGGTTACAAAAGCATCACATGGAAAAGACAAAAATTCTCAAACTATCACAACACAAGAAATATGAAAACACAAACCAAACTCCATCCTCGATATACTTCATTTTTCTCATAGGTCAGCACATATTTCTGTGTAACAGAATAATATGTTTATTTGCAGGGGAGGCAACTTACCCACTGTCAGTGAATAAAAATTCCAGATGGGTCATATAAACTTCCCAAAGTGGAACACTGTATCGCTGAGCCAAAGAAACAGCAATCTTGTAGACATTTTCTTCAAGTGTTCTTAAAGAGGAGAGATGTGAAAGAAAACAAGGAAAAGTTACACTAAGCCCCTAGAGACATGATATGAAAAAATAAATATTTAACATTAGAAAAGTAATTATTTCTTCTTAATTTTTTTTTCATAAATCAAGAAACTAGAATCACTGTTAAATAAAAATACACAAAGTGTGTCTTCTTGTATTTGCTTATAACTCAGTGCTCCATTTGGGGGAAAAACAAAAAGGTTGGGGGAGGTGGAATCAAACTACAAAGATATTCCAAAGACGGTTACCTACTCTACATACACTTTGGTTCTCAATGACACTTTCTGCTTAACCTTTGTACTAAAATGAAAACCTCATTTTTCATTTCAAAACTTCATTTTTCATTTCATTTCAATTACAAAGTGATAAAGGATGTCATGTGTCACAGTTAGCATTTATTTGATTTAGTTGGAACACCTACAGTGTTTTAGCACAACTGGTATGTAGGTCCTCAAAGCTCCTCTTAGAAGTTCACGTACTTTATTTCTCTGCATAGTTCCAAGAAAAATACTATCTGTTTGTAATTACATCCTAATAGACCTGTCATGAACAACTTTCTAAAAAAATGTATTTAATGTGACTACTGAAGACCATATTGCATTAGATTCTCTAACTTAAAAGTCATGTGGGACTGAGGAAAAAAGCCTTACACAACACGAACCATTACAAAATACAATTGCAACTGTCAGTAAATTAGTTTACAAAATTATATATTAATATAAGACTCACGTTAACTCTATAAACTTGAGCAACCTTATCATATTATATTTAACATCTTCTTTACATTGTTTTCTACAATCTTGAGAGGAATGTGGGGAGCAGACTTTGTGGATCAACAATAACTTTTAGTACATTTTCTAAACCATCATCATGATCTATGTATGACAATAAAAGGAAAGCAGAAAGAACCCTATACATTAGAGAGCATATCCTCCTAGTTCTTTTTTTGTCTTTTACCATATCTTGGTCTATGCTAAACAAGGTTTACAGCTGGAGTCTGTGACTTTCTCACCACCCTAGGTGAACAGTTGACACATTCATACACCTTAATTCTGATTTTTAGACACTCAATGCAACATATCATTACATTTCACTGTGATAGTTTCTACAGATATTGTAGAATTAAAATTAAGACATATGATGCACAGTAGAAAAGCAAAATGCCAATAAAGAACATAATGCTGAAAAATCTTCACAACCAGTTATGAGAATACCCTTTGTGTTATAACTTTTGCTCTAATAGTTTTAAAAACAAAAACACACAAACCAAAACCACACAAACAACAAAAACCCAGAAAAGCAAAAAGTCCATAACCCTCTTGTAATGACTCTTAGTTATGACAACCCATGAAAAATACTAGGCACTTTACACTGAATAACATGTATGCAAAGTAAAGGAGGCAGAACATAAGCATTAAAATTAAGAAATACATTTTAAGATAAAAGTATCTATTGAAATACATTTAAGAAAAAAAAAAGGGGGGGAGGAAGAAAAAAAAAAAAAAATCCCACACACTATCCTGTCTCTTCTGTTCCAATGGCCACAGCACCTTTCCTCTGATTGTCCAGCACAGCAAAGCTTCCTGTACCCAACCTCATGAAACTGGATTCAATACTTCAATGCAAATAGAAGAACATTTTTTTAACCCAGCAAGCAGTGATGTATGTATAAGAGGAGGATGATCTAAACTTTTTCAAAAATACTCACTAAGAGTCACCTAACCTTTTAAAGGCACACACTCTATCCTATTTTTCAACATTAAGAAGTACCATGACAACACTACATTGTAAATTCCAGATTCGTAGCCACAGTTTGTGCAGGTTGTCACTCAGTACATAAAAGCAGATCTTTTTTTAACCAGGGATACGGCTGTTGTTAAATCACAACACATGTAAACTTACATTCCCTTGCATCTTCCAGAAATCATTTTATGTACTGTCAACACGGGGATTACCAGTTAAAGTGAACGTGAGGATTGGTGCAAGAACCGAACAGCGAGTATGCCACCAGCTAAGGGGATGATAACAAAGTATTTAGGAAAAGGTACACTGGAGGTGATGAGGTTAATGGCAGTATTCTGCAGGCTAGTCCTCAACACTGATCTCAATACTTCCATTTAAAGAAAAAAAAGTACAATATATTACTTTCCTTGTATCATCAAATCAGATAGAGAGTATCTTGACAGAAGGAAATTTTTAGGAATGATCTAATAACCCTCTGTTTAAAAAGTAAATACTACAACAACTTCTGAAATGAACTGAGCAGTTCCAAAATGAACAATGGAGCCTCTGGAAAGAGAACAGTGATGGGCCATGAAGGTGATGTAGGGACTGCAGCGTGTCTCCTACAAGGAAAAGCTGAGAGAGCTGGGACTGTTCAGCCTGGAGAAAGCTCAAGGGAATCTCAACAATGTATGTAAATACCTGAGGGGAGGGTGCAAGGAGGACAGGGCCAGGCTCTTTCCTGTGGTGCCCAGCGACAGGACCAGAGGCAATGGGCACAAACTGAAAGACAGGAGGGTCCATCTGAACATCAGGAAATACTTTTGCACCATGAAGATGACTAACACTGGCACAGATTGCCCAGGGAGGCGATGGAGCCTCCATCCTTGGAGGTATTTAAAAGCTGCCTGGCCATGGTCCTTGGCAACTGGCTAAGTGCTCCTGCTTAAGCAGTGGGGCTGGGCAAGATGACCTCCAGAAGTCCCTTCCAATCTCAACCAGCCTGTGACTCTGTGATTCAGTGAACAAGGAAGACGATATGAATGTTTCAGTTGCACAATAACTCAGTCGATCATACAAATCAGGAGTGGCTCTTGGAGCTAGCAGGATCCATTCCCCCTAGCACTTTATAAACCTTACTAAAATCCTGCCTTTCTGTCTTAAGAATGTCATGCAGTGGCAGCATAAGGCAATGGAGGTTTAAGGAAATTATGTTGTATAAATGAAGAACAGTAACAAGCTATTTATTGTCAAAGTAACACTGACAAGACAAGAACAATGAGTTGTTACTTAATAAAAAGATGAAAAAATGGCCACTACCTTGTAAAGGACCTTTTAACTTTCTTTTACACACCTCTTTTCATGCCCAGCCCTAACTGCCTGTCTCTGTGAGCCTGAGGACTGCCAGAGAAATGCCCACTGAAGGCTTCGGTGCAGGCACAGTTTGGACTCACTTCCTGTGCATTGTTGCACCAAGACTGGTGCAAAAACAGAGTCAGAAGCAATTCTTGTGGATGCCTCTTAGCTACTCTGCCTGTGTGCTAGCACGTATTTCCAAAATATGCCTGAGAAAGCATCAAAAAATATGCCTGTGAATGTAGCATTCAGCTAGGTTTCTGCTGACTATCTTCAAGCTCACAGAAATAAATATTTGGCAGCTCAGAGCAAATTTTTTTTTTCTATCTTGTTCTCTAAAGCCCCTGTTCTATCATACATGTGCATGTGTTTGCTCACAACTGCTGTCTTCAACATTTTCTGTTGACATCAATCAGCTACAAAGCATTAGAACCACCACTGGATTCAATCATAATAAAGGGAAATGCAATTCACTTTTCTAGTTGCCTGTCCTCAACAAATGTTTTAAAAAAAAAAAATACGCAACTTGGAGAAGTGAAATGAAGATTTAAACCAAGAGCCTTTAGTTTCCTCTCATGATTGAAGCAGAAAAATGAGATGGAAGGCTACGGGTGTTTGTTAAGTTCTGCAGCAGCAATGCATCAGGGAGAAAAGGCTGTGTCTACACTGGCAATACAGCACAGCAGTATAGCAAAAGCATACACAACGGTTCAGAAGCTAATGTTACTAGTAAGAGCTGAAGTACATTCTAAGTGGTTTTATACAGGACCTTCTAGTTTAGTCTTCTGGAAAGAGACCTAGATCATATGCATCAAAACCACTCTAAGAATCCAATAAGCACAAGCTAAGTTATGAAATTCAGATTGCTTGATAATTGCACAATTTTTCTAAAAATCTAAAATAAGTATTTCAGATCAGTGACGTAAGACAAGGAAGAAATTGGTATTACATCATTAAAATCAACTCCTAGTTTCAACATTTTAAGAGAAGCAGCAAAGGGTTGAAGATCTCAGAGCATGTGAATTAAAAAGAAATTAAAAAAAAAAAAAAGCCACCCAAAAGCTGACCTCAAGTAAAAGAATAATTTAGAAACCTTATATACCATAGTTGGTCTGAAGCTACATGGGACTTCACCTGATTGCTCAAGAATTCCTATTCAGTTTCCCTAATTCCTTTCCATATACATTCTGGCTCTGTTTTGCCCATATAAATTGTTAACTGCTTGAGAACTAACCTTGATTAAGTCTGTGAGGCACCTAGATCTTTAAATATTTGATAAATAATGCATAATAAGCTCTAATGACAATACACCAAATATGGAAGCCAAAATTGACAACTATTTGTTAAGTAGTTTTAGAAAATTGCTCATTCTAGTACAAAACTGTTTTGTAAATAAGATAGCATCTCTTCCAGGTGTTGTTCCTGCAAACAGCACTTCATAAAAAATTAAAAACATGAGGTACTTAATGATCATTCAAAAAAAGGAAAAATGCTCTGCAATTATATTGAATTTGCACACTGTTTTCATCAGAAAATGCAGATTAAGAGTCAACTGAGAAGATTAAAGCAAGGAAGCTGCAAGCTGAACAAGCAATTAATTGGATCTTTGCAACTGCCCAGTATGGAACTACCGCTCTCATCCACATGCTATCAAGCCCTATTGTTACTAACCCTTTCATATTGTGTTTTGATCTCTACTTCCTCTAAGGAACTCTCTCTTCATATTTACTTCATTTTTACAAAAGACATTACCTAAAGGACTCTTGGATGAGAACATAAGTAAGCATGCTGCATCCAAAATAAATGTCCATAATAACAGAAGGATTTTTGTATTGAAGTTACTGCAGATAATCATCAAGATGTAACATTCACCTGGTGATACACTACTGATATGATATGTGCTCAATGAACAAGATACACAAAACAGGTAACTCCAATGGAAACATTAGAAGATGCTATTTTTATGAATGTAGTGCCAAAATCTACGCAGGTATAGGTTTCACAGATGCAAAGCAGCGGCGTCCTTATTGTTCCAAACCTGAGGTTATACTACTATGCTTATTCAGCATTTCATATCAATTTTTTTACTAACAAATTTCTATTGGAATTGCAGCTATGAGTAGGTACATAGGTGGAAGGCCGTAGACATCTAAATATGCTCTTCAAAAGCTTTATGAACAGAGTAGTTTAAAATTAGGGTAAAAATTATATTAAAAGCTTCTTATTGCACAGAACTCTTCCTTTCATAGTCTAGCAGCTATTCAACTGCTATTGTCTTCAAAACATATACAGTTCAAGTACATTCAGGACTTGTTCGCAGCCTAAAGTACCCGCACGCAGATGTTAGTTAAAGTTATTTTTAAAATGGACAGTACTACCCTATGTCTTTCCTTTTTTTCTATTCTGGATAACTGAAAGGTGAGACAAAAAGCTTTCTAAATATCACAACATGTGCAGTGAAGGCTTCAGTACTTCCAAATGACTACAGAGGAAAAATATTGTAATATACAGTAACTTTAACTATAGTATTAAAAATAAAATAGTTTATTAATTTTTTTTAAAAAAAACTATACTTCATTACAAACTTTGACGCTTGGCATACCCTAATAGATTACTAGGGCAGGTTTACAGGAGATGAAAGGAAGAGATCAGACCTCCTCCTATGAGGAGAATGCTCTGATTTCATTCATCCCCGATTAATATTAGCAGTTAATAAACAAAGAGGTATAGCTTCCATTAAAAGTTATTGATCCATTTATTTGAGCAACATTTCATTTGAGCAACATTTCATTTAAGTGGAGTAGTTGAATAGAAAAGGCTCCAATTGTAGCAGCATTACAGTGTAAATATCTAACGCAACTGGTAACTTAGCCCTTCTAAAGGTCAGCACTACTTTCAATTTACTTTCCTGATTTAAAGCTTAAAGTAATTCCATTTTAAAATAAAGAAAATAAACATAAAAGACATTACTTACTCTGTCAATCCTAGTATTGTTTCTCTCTTGTACTGTCCATCTGCTGTAAACCTCTGCACATCCACTCCTTTGCCAAGTCCTTGCAGAATCTGAGCTTGAGTGAAATCCAGTAGTCGTTCATTGTAGTAATGCAGCTGATTTATCAAAGTTGCAATTTCTTCAGGCCAGTCTGTATAGCCATACTGAGTAACATACTTTGTGACCATCTCAATCAACTCTTTTGGATCAGTCTGTGAAAATAATGGACAGACTAAAAAAAGTCCTGTAAATTTCTGAAAAAAAATTAGCATTTCATAATTGACCCCTGTGTTCAGAACTGAAATATTTGTTTCCATTTCTGAGAAGTTTTAAGTAAAACAAAATTCCAAATTTTCTGTAAAGACTATTCTCTATGATGTTAAAATTTATCCTTTTGAAATGCTTTAGACTATTCCATATGCTACAAAAATTCAAACAAATGTACCTAACCAAATTAATAGTAACAAGTACATCACTATAACTGAATTTATTTGTTTTTAAAACCCTCACCTTTATTGACATTGAACTAGGCAACTGACTGGTAGAACACTTCAACAGATCAAAGAAAACTTACCAAATCTCTCCTTGATTACAAACACTACAAGCAAGTTTACTCTAAAACAGAGACTCTGTCTCAAAAACAACAATGGAAGCAATATTGCAGACTGGGGTTTTTTGTTACTAAATTTCTGATACACTTCTATTATACAGAATTGATAAAAGGAATAGCTTAGCATTTTAAGTGTTGAGCACTGATACTTTCAAAGAATGAGAAACGTTGCAGGATCTGCAAATTACACACAAGGTATTGCCTACACCCTGAAACCTTCAAATAATTAAATACTGATCATCCATGGATTAGGATAACCTTTGTTTTCAAAATACCTTCATCACAAATAAAACTTACTTTTCTACATCAGAAATTACGCATCAAGTGCATATTTAATCAACCACTTCTGTAGTCAAAAATCCACATCGCAATGCAACAATTTAGAACATGGAACAAATACAGTCTGCATGTTTGAAATGAAAAAGGAATACATGTACTGTAGAGAGTTCCCAATTATTTCAAGATCTGGACAGTGGCTATGTCTGGGCACCCCCACTTGAACCCAGCTGTGTGTGATATATAATCACTCTGCACACTCAATACCTTGATTTCTCTCTTCCATGAAAAAGAGGCCACCAGCAGCACAATGTCATAAGGAATCACCATGACTTCTGTGTAGCACTCACTGAGGAAGGAGTTCCGCCAAAAGGGCCACCAAAAAAATATCTGGGAATGCCAACTGTAGTTGAAATATTTTCTAAAAGAAACAACTGATTTAACTGCTGTGATCTGAAAAATATTGAGTTTACTGGAAAAATACACTTTGTTTTTATTACAGAATGATTCTGCTAAATTAGAAGCTAAACTTATGAATGTTAACTAGAGTGCACAGCAAGGTAAAACATGCACCAAACGTTTGAAGCTTGAGGCATGCTTGAATTTTTCTATGACTTGCTGGTCATTCTAAATTGATTTTTTTTTTCTTTTTTTCTTTCAAGTCTTACCTGACAGGCTGCTCACCAAGTCATATTAAATGCTACAGGGCATCCTTTTTCCTCTACACATGATATTTTTCTGAGGGCCTCTAAACTTTGCAAACTCATTGATTTTATAAACAACATCAGTAGTTCTTTCAAGGTTGCTTAGGAGATTGGTAACAGAATAATAAAACCTCAGAAAAGAGATAGGCAAGCAGAGCAGTGCCTCCACACTGCAATTATATCATCTGGAAAACAATCCACTGCTTATTATGTACTCTGGTATCTCATTTTAGGTGATACACTAGAAAACCGAGCATGGAGACAAGGAAAGTCAGAGCAAGATGAGGAAACCTGTTTAACATATTTGCCTAAATCCTTTGTACAGTCCACTGAGAAAGGCAGGTCCCTCTGACAACCTACGAGGATAAATTTGCTCTCCTTTGCTAGGTTTCCCCTCTCTCCATTAAGAAGAGTAGAATCCAGTGTCAGCACTCTTCTTCCAGTGCACAACTCACCAGATTGTTCATAAAGTACACAAAGACAACCTTGAAAGTATTTTCAAACAAATACACCAGAACTCTTCCTCAAGAAATGTATTCTGGAGATGAAACGATAATATTTTTAATGAGTTTCCTGAGTAGCACATAATTTTTCACCGTGAGATAGAACTAAACTTGAGTATTTCTAAAAATAACTTAAAATAATACTAATTACTAAGACAGGTAGATTAAAACAATTTTATTTTTGGTCCACTGTTGTCTTCAATCCATTGGGAACTCATCATCTTTAAATGTGAAATTCCTTTTTAAAAAAATAAACTGCCACTTTACTTCTAATCATAATATTTTGACCAAGTTGTCACCCTCTCAAATGACATCTATCACTAGTGCCAACCTTTATTCCCCATTTGATACATCTCCCTAAAAGCATCTGTATGCAATCTTCCATGCTGCCTGTTTATGCTTCAAAGGAACATCTTAAGGTTATCTAATCAGCTTAATCATATTCATGTTAATACTCTTGCCACACAATACCTACAAAGATGCAGTAAGAAGTGTGCGGTTCCCCTAGGACTGCTCTCTATCAAATTGATCAGTACCATTTCACTGTTTTTCTTAGCTGAACCTCTTCTACCTCGTTTCACTACTAGGTTGTAATAAAAAAAAAAAAATAACCTGGATCAAGGACCACTGTGTGATACAGCAATACCACAACAAGTAGTAACAATGACAAACTGTTACAAGACGGGAAAGAGAAGGAAGTGGAAGATAATCTGATGTACATGTTGTTTAAAGGATCAATGTGATCCTTGGATGCACATATGAGGAATGAGAAACAAAAAAATACATTGATGTTTGTCACTAAGATAACTAATTCCCAGTACTAGGTTCTTTTCTGGGTTTTGAAGTTCTGAAATATGTTATAAAAGGGATGGCTCTGAAAGGTATCACAAACTTTATTTAAAGGATTTAAGAAACGTATCTTCCAGTAATATGCAAATAATGTCTCTGGAAATAACGTCTTGGGGTCTATTGAGATTATTGACGACAGAGTTAGAATAATAGAATCATATCCTGTATGAATAACCTAGTATGTATATCCATACATACATAAGGCAAAAAAGTGCATCAAAATCTTCAATCTAGGAGATAAAAGTATGAGATCTGACAGCTGGTAAATTAACATACATACGTTCAGATTAAAGAAAACACGAGGTGGGTTTTTTTTATTGCAAGCAGTTGCCAAGGATTGTGTTGAACTCTTTACCACCAAAAATCTTTCAATCAAGCGTTGTCCTATTTTAGCCCTTACAAAACCTATGCTCCAAACTATCAAAGGATGTGAAATTAAAAATTAGTTTAGAGAAAACCCACAGCCTGCTTCATGGAAGAGCCTATACTGATATCTAATGTGAGACTTTCCAGGTTTTTTTAATCTATAAAAAACAATCTTTCCCAAGTTGCAGTTCCTTGCAGAACTCATTTACTGGAACGACACATAGTTTTCCTTCTTGCAGATTTGTCATCCTTCTAGAGACTTAAAACGCTTTCTTAAATAACAGTGCTGCTTGCGCAGTATTTATTAGGCATTTAACACAAGTTCAATGAAAAAAATATAAAAAGCTAAAGTGGTTGGTACCAAGCTGTGTAGAACTTGTATTTCATATTTTCAAGCATTCTTTAACATTTTTATAATACATGTTTTTTAAAAGATAAGCACAAATAGTTCTGCACCCATTAGATACCTAGCTCAATTAGACATGTTTGTTCTAAAGAACAAAGATCATTATAGTTGTTTTGCCAGTATTCAAAAAAATCCTAACAGTTTTTAATTGAAAAGACCGTAATAACTAGCCAGTAATAGCAGTTGGCAGTAAAGAAAATTAGCAAAATCAGTAAAGGCTTTCATAGGGTTTACAAATTCTTTGAATTTCTTAAAATTGTAATAGCCACTTTAAAAAAAAAAAAAAAATCTCTACAGCAATTTGTGTAAATACAAACGAACTTTGACAGGTAAGACTGATAAGAAGTCATAGTAAATTTGTTCTCTTTCTAATGTTATCTGTCAAAAAACCCACCAAAAAACTCCAAACTGCTACTACACTATTATCTCTGTTGGATTTTCAGAGTCTTTCAGATAGTTAAAAATGGTGCCTAGGTGTCCAACTCCCCTCTTTGCCAGATAAATCTCCTCCAGTACTTCTAGACAGGTATCTGAACACAACTTTCCCTCCCTGATCATTCAAGAAGGATATTTTACATACAAACTCAGCAGCAAACATAAGGTAAACTTTCCAGAAAAGCCACAAGAGCTGACCCGAATGTATTACACCCTGAACCCATGAGTGTCCCTAGCATTGCCAAGGGAAATCCCTCGTGAGCTACCCATCAAGGCATTTTACTCATCTATTGGATTAACACTATATTTTGTGCTGTAACAGTTTTGTCCTGGCAATAGTAAAATGACCTGGCTTAGGCTTTGCTTGGGAATTAAGAAGAAAAAAAAAAAGAAAGAGAGAAAAGAAAAAAGCACCCATCACTTCAGCATAAAGTTCATTTAATTTCATGCTATTAGATGTGATTTACTGAGCACAGATCAAGACAAGTTACTGTCAATATTGCACCACCAGCCATTACCAGTAGCCTCAGCTGGGGCTCAGAGTCCACCTCACTAGATGTTTTAAAGCAGTACTTCTCTTTGACCATCCTTTGGGAATCACACCTGTGAAGTCCTCGAGAATCTGTATGTCACTGTAGTATTACAAAAGCAACACTGGTTTTAAAGAGAGATAAGAGGTTTTGGTCTTGGAATTTCTTCACCCTGACCCCTAAAATAATCTTCAATTTGACACTCGCCCAACCCTCCCCAGCAAGTTGCTATTTCTTTTTTCTTTCAAATCTCTTCAAAAAAGACTTCATTCAACCATACATATCAGGAAAAAAAAAATGAATCTGAATTTTTCCTCCTGTTTCTCTCCTGCTCAGGAAGTGGCAATGATTTTACAGCTATGGTAAGAGATATAAATAATAAAAAGATTTACTGTAAACATGTCATTGAGATAATATTAGATCATTAGGTTATTTAGCTTGTTTAGTTCTTTTAACATCAAGAATCTTTCCAATTGTTCTAAAAAGGAATATTATTCTTTTGGGTTTGTTTTTCATGTAAACGATCTTCAGAC